AAGTTCGATTTGAGATGGTTAACTTTTTGGTGGGGACTTGGTATAAGAGTGCAATTAAAAATCTTACTAAGAAATCACAGATAACAAAAATAATTACGTAAACAATAATAATAATATCGACGTTGCACTAAACAAAACCTAAAAGCGTTTAATTATGAAATTTGCACCATCATTTTTCTTTACGCTTCCCCGCTTCTAACTGTTATTCGTTTACACATATGTACACATATGTAGTATGTAAATGTAAGAGTAAGCAGGGGTAAGCAAAATTTTTTAAAAGCGTCTAAAGTCTACTTATGTATGTACGTAAATTACCACTAAATAGAATTGACAAGTTGAAAACTAAAATCAAAGTCAAAGTCAAATCAAGTGGGTCTTAACAATTTTATTTTAACAAAATATTTTGCAAAGTGTCACCGCGTGCCATGGTCCACCTCTTCTAAGACAGCGAAAGTGGAATGGAAGTGCGCACACTTGTTAGCTCATCAGCTAACTCATTGCCTGGTATATCTCTTTATTCCAACACCCCCACCATGATGAAGAGTAAACTCCCTGCAAAAATTTGAGGACCAGGTGGTCCACTGGGTTTTGGTTTTAAAGTATGTGCAAAAGGACCAGGCTGCATACCAGTAACTTGTTAGCTGACTTGGACCACTTTAAACGTAAAAAACTGATTTATGTGTTGAACACCACCTCTTCGTGGCCCATCGGCAATATGATTCGGTTGCCGAATGTGCCATGGTCCAAAAGGAGTTTGCAGCGGAGGACCATAAGTGGTCCCATGTTATGCAGCGTTGGACCAGAGGTGGTCAGGTCCAATGACATCGCAATGTTAATGTAACCATATATTCTCAAAATATTTGGACCATTTTGGTTACTAGTGTTGGTTACAAAGTTGCGTGGTCCTGTACCAATGTTTAACCTAGTCCCACTTTTTGCAGGGCTGCTCTTCTATCACTAGTGTTGCCAGCACTTTTTCAGATAAAAGGCTAAATGGTCAAAAAAATAAAGCTAAAAAAACTAAATCAAAATTTTAGTTATGACTAAGAAAAATAGCCAAATTAAGGAATATTTTTTTCTTTATTATAAATTCATAACAACAAATTTTGTGCTTAAGTAAATACTTTTCGTAGTCACGAAAGCTGTAGGCAGCATAAGACAAAGTTTTGATTTCACCTCATGGTTCTGTAACCAGTGACGATTCGGTGTGATATTTAGCCCCATCGCATGAAAACCAATACTTTCGTGTCGCCCAGTAAACTTAACAAAGAAAAAGTACTGCCACTCCCTGTAATATCACTGCGATTCCCTGTAATATCAATATGGCCTGACCAAAGTCGAGCAATTTAATAGAAATTCGACTGCTTCCTTAATTCTAGCTCTGCCTGATGCTGGCGCCCTGCATGAAAGAACCATTCACCGACACTTCGGTCAAGCTTCTGCTAAATCTAGCCGGAAAATATCTAAAATGGCAACACTGGCTCATGTTTAGTGATTTGCGGCAATTTACCACTTTTACAAATTGTGAACGAATGCTCATGCCCGTAAGCCCTCAACGGCTTCCTGTATAGACGCAAGTTCGGCTTAGAAGAAGTTGCGATGGTCTGCATTACATGATTACTCCGACCTAGTTGTCAAACTTAGATCCGTCAACGTAGAAGTTAAGTATATCGCGGATGGCTCTGGGTGAATTGCTGTCTCTGAGGGATTTCTACTTTAGGCTCTTTGTCGAAATTTATGGTTAGCACCAGCGTTGCCATTTTAGCCGTTTTCCGGCTAGATTTAGCCGGTTTTGATAGCAACTAGCCGGAGAAAATTCGATCTAGCCGGCAGCCGATTTGTTAGCCGGTTTGTAAAAAAAAGTTAGCCGTTTTTAGCCGATTTTACTATTTGCCTAATTTTCAGGTGCAAAAAGTAAACAAGTTGTTCGAAAGCAATAATGCAGACCCAATGAAGATTTTTAATGAACTCAATGTTTTACTTTCGCATCTATGCTCCCTAGTGGTTATTAGCGCGGACACATTTGATCCTATATGCTCCCCGTTGGAACCATACCTTGCTCCATTTCCTCAGTTTTATCACAGTTTTGAAGAGTATTTAAAAACAAAAGTAAGCACAAACGCTTTTGACCACCAAGCCGAGAAAATAATTCGAGAAAATGGTCGCTATTTTATTATCACTTTAATAATATTACTTTAATAATAAAGGAATTACGCCAACGCCTCCCTACAAATATTGCCACACTAAAAAAAATTGACTTTTTTCGGTTGGAAATGCATTAAGAGTAATTAAACCAAAAGTATTTGTTCAAGTACAGCAACAAAAACACAAATATAATGCCGACGAAATAACATCCATAGAGATGTAATGGCAACGGTTAACGTTACATACCTGGAGTAATTTAGACTCAACTGTAAAATTTTGGGCCGAAGTTTATCAATTTCGAAATGCCCTAGGAGAAAACCCTTTTGCTGACCTTTCCAACCTAGTTTTTAGTTTTCTTGTTTTGCCTATAAGTAATGCAGAAGTAGAGCGAATATTTAGTTCAATGAATATAATAAAAACCAAGCAAAGAAATCCAATGTGCGTTAAAACGTTAAACGCTATTTTATATATAAGATACGGTTTAAAACGTGAAGAAAAATGCTGCCATAGTTTTACTGTAGATGACGATCTCTTAAAATTAATGAATTCAGGTGATATATACAATAGTGATTCATTTGATGATGAGGAATATACACTCGATATAAATTAATGGTGTTAACTAGTCTTTCGTTTCTTGCGATTTATTTAAATAAAGCATGTGAATTTTCACTAAAACATTTTAGCCGTTTTTTGCCAGAGTCTATGTGAAATTTCACTAAAACATTTTAGCCGTTTTTAGCCGCTTTTTTTGCCAATCTAGCCGGTCGGCCCAAAAAGTTCTGGCAACACTGGTTAGCACGCACTAGTCCGTTTTTTTTTTGGCAGGCAAGCCTATCATGATTTTAGGTGTGAATATTCAATCCCAGGTAAGATCATTTTCGTAGTCTTACAACAGCAAATATTTCGCAAATAAATTTTTGCTAGTTTTATTGACTTTGACTAGGGAATCTTATACAATATTTTAAATGGTGCAAGCTCAGTTGTAATGGCTGCTGAGACCCATTTCGGGGGCGCAGTATTCTGTCTGTTCAGGGACGAAGTCATTGCTTTCCAGAACTCCAGAGTGTCCAGCTTCCGAGCCAGTTAACCGCCAGATTCCCCTGGGCAGTTCATGCTGCGACCATTCTGCCTGCAATATTTATCCACAGGCACTATGTTCAACATGACGTTAAGCGCCTGTATAAGTGTGGTTCTTAATGCATCACTAATGCCGATTAAGGCGATCTGCTGTACACACTCAAGTTGCTTTACAATTGTAAACTTCTCTAGTGAGTTCCAACAGACAAAAGCTCCGTGCAACAAGATAGGCTTAACTATGGTTTCATAGAGCCAATGAATTGCTTTGGGTGAGAGACCTCACCTCTTACCAATAGCTCCCCTACAGCAGTACAAGGAAACTGACGGCTTTTTTTTACCCCTTATTCAATGTTAGGCTTCCACAACAGCTTCCTATTCACGATCAAGCCTAAGTGCTTGACCCTGTCTGAGAGTTGCAAATGGCTTCCTGGTAAAGAATACTAGTTCCGTCTTGCTTTGATTTACTGCGAGGTCGCAGTTGGCCGCCCACTTAGTAACCTGGTTCAGGTAACCTTGAGTCAGATCAAAATATCATCCCTTAACTAAAAGTACCACAAGAGCAGGGTGAGAAAACACCACCTCGTGGAGTGCATAGCCATACATATCAGGCAAATTATTTGAGAGCCTCTACAAGGGCGTGCGCTGCGTTGAGGCTGGAAATGACATCAGGTTTTTAATTTTTTCTTTTAAGGTCGCGGGGTCTTATAATTTTATTCTAGACATTCTATTTATAGTCACGAAGGCTGCAGCTGTTCGGTCCAACGATCTTGGAGTGCCACATTTTTTTGAAAAGGAGGAATTATTTTTTCAATTAAGTTTGCACGCATATTTATAATGTTTAAAATTTGAAAATGTTTAATTGTAAGTTTAAAAAAATCGATTAAGGGCTACATTCTAAATTCAAAAAAAAAAATCGATCTTTAAGGAGGCAAATACAATTTTATTTATAAGTTTAATTAAATATTATTTCCAATATAATTACTTTTGTTAAGCAAAAAAAAGTAAAAGTAATATTAAAAATATGAAAAAGTAAAAATGGATAAAGTTATGTAGTCGCCAATTGAAATAAATACATCCATATATTTTTGTAATCTTAGAGATGTATATACATACATACATTATCTTTTCATGAATGATCTAGGCGTTAAATAGTTGCAAAAATATATGTAATTATAAAAACATTTAGTTAATTTAAAAAAAATATTGCCAGTTTCTAATACAAAAACCACGAAACGAAAAGATACTAAACGAAATCAATATTTAGCATGTCATTTGGAAAAAAAAGTTTCTAATCACTTCACCCATTAACTATTCATGTTTTATGTTTTATTCATTTAGAAACAGTTGTCTATAATGTAAATGTCTCACTGTACATTCGCTCATCAGTAATATAATTATTAAAATATTTTATTGCTTAAGCAATCATACATACCTACATAGATACATTTGTATGTTTGTTTGGTAGGCAGCATATTTAAGGTTTTCTTTACATGAAATCGCAAATATTTCGCACCAACATTATTTTTCAAGAATTTATTGTAAATATCTTTTAAAAATGCAAATTTAATTTTAGTTAATATTTTTTTAAAATACTTTCAAAATCAAAAAAAAAATAAGTACCTAAAAGTTTTAAGTTAATTACAAAAAAAAAATATTTATGTAAATACTTATGCACTTTAAGCGTAAATATATTTTAAAACGCTTCCATTTCTTATTTCTACGTTGTTATTTCCCTCCATTTCCCGCACGTGCAGACAATTTATCGGCGACTGTTGGAAGCGCAAAAGAATCGCACCCACGTAGATCCGGAGGTGACGTTGCAGTTCCTCAAGAGCGCCATTTACTACTTCTTGACCGACAAGGAGAACTCACAGGGCCACTTGCAGGCCATCGAGAGCATTTTGGAGTTCACCGAAGCGGAAAAGCAGAATATCAACAAAGCGCGTACGGTCAAGTAGTGCAAGCGAATACTTTCATTATAGTTGAAGGCATACAAAATATGGAAGTTAAAAATACACACATATGTGACACGTTAAATGCAAACATACACACTACGATACCTACATACATACATAGATACAGCGTTTAGTTGGCGTAAACGAAATTCTTAGAAAGACAAAAAGTAATAGACGCATCCAAAAAAAAGTTCACCTTTGACCGCTTGGTTGAGAAAAAACGTTTTTAATTAGCAATGCTAAATACATATTTTCAAATGCAAAATATTTGTAGGATAAATAAATTAATAAAATATCTATATATATACGTATGTATGTATATATAGTTATCACGTAGGCGGCTATGCGGCTGCAATGTGGGCGGTAAGACAGCACGAAAAATATTTCAAATTGCGAAATTTTATAACTTTCATTTTATTTTAATGTTTTAAAATAAATTTCGTAAAGTTTTTTTTTTAAGTTACACATGTTTATTTATTACAAATATATACATACAAATATAAATTTAATGGGATTGATATTATATTTTATTATAAACTATGTTAATGTTCATTTTGTTGAATAAAAAATCGCAAATCTCAGTTTCATTTATTTAATGTTAAATGAAATCATTGAAATGATATTGGCGTCCAATTGAAATTAAGATGTAATAAAGCAAATTTTTTTCACTATAAAGAAATCGTTTTCCAGATAAAATATAAATTTTTGCATAGGCATGCAATGTGTGCAAGGATTAATAGTGAGGAGTGCGGAAAATAATCGTTAAAAAGAATCGGAGTGCGCTTAGGAATATCTCAGTTCAACCGATTTATCGATACATATGTTATCGAAATTATTATCGATAACTTAATGGATATAATTGTTAATGTTATCACCATTTTTTCACTTGTGTAACGATATAGCGATTTATACATTTATCGATCTCGTTATTGGTATTATCGATATATTTTGTTGTTCTGAAAGTCTGGGTTGTATATCGAAAAGTTAATTCTCAGTTTTCCCAAGTTGGCGTTTTAAAGCTTTTTTTTTAACCGACTTAACAAACAGGAAACGGTTATCTATTCATCGTGAACCGATCTCTATAATTCTTTTTTTAAAGGAAAGGTGTTACCTCACAGGTGGTCCCATACTAATTTGGTTTAAATCCGATCATTGGATCATGAAGAAATCAACGATAATCTTAAATTTTTATATGAGAATTGAAGAGTGACACTTTTATTGTTGCTAATATTATTGAGTGATAAGAGTTCCAATTTTTGTTACGTAATTTTTACTCATGCATTATTATGTGATGTAGTCAAATTTCGATGGTTTTGAAAATTAATCGGTTAATCGCTCGACTAATCGAAAGGAAAATTTCGATACAATTAAATCGTTAACCGAATGAAAATAACCGATTATAATCGGTCATTCGATTAGTCGTGCTATCACTAATTAGGAATCAGAAAATAACATAAGTACTCATGAACCAATTAGAACAGATCAGACCGGTTGAGAAGCAGCCATTTGTAATAGCAATTGAGAAAAAAGTGTGTAACGTTCGTAATTTTGAAGTTTGCTATTTCTGTTTTGCATCTTTCTTAATGTGTATTTTGTCGGTGGTTTATTTCAGTGATTTTAAGCGATTTTCAATAAATTTTTTGTGCAAATGAAATTAAAATGAAGTGCGCGGTGATTGGTTGCAAAAATACGTACAAAAATAATAAATTGGTTAGCACAAACATGTGCTACAAAATCGCTTGCATTTTCTTCTTTATGCTTCGTCTTTATATTCTATGTTTAATTTTCAAAGAAAATAACATGGCGCCGAAATTACAAACGTCAGCCAGAAAATTACTTTTTTCTTTTGCTTCATCTTGCCAGATCTTGTGTAGTTGGATCATGATAAGTACTTAAGGTCTCGAACAAATTACTATAGACGTGATTCTTAGAAATTTTTTGTCACGTATTTCCTTTCCTTAGAAAGAGAAAATAAGGCGTGAGTACCAGGGATTCATTCGATTTGATGTGTAAACATCTGTGTATGGCTTGGCAAAGCATTAGGCGATTCAGTTACATACATAAATATCATGTATTTATGTACTTAAATAGGTTAGGCTTGAAATAAAACATTAATTTCATTTCATTTTATTCATTTTGTCGGGACCAGTACACGACCTTTCCACAACCACTTCGGCCATAATTTGGGGTTATTTCAAGATAATTTCAAGACAAAATTGTCCTGACATGGTTCCAAAAAAGTCTGTCAAAAATGTTCTCGAGCAAGTCTCAAAACGATACCGGAATGGTGCCTTTTTAGGCTCAAAATGATCGCGAACTAGGCCCGAAATTATCTCGAACATTTTTTGAAAAGGGAAATAGTCTCTTATTAGTTACCGAGAGCTAGGATGTTTACACATCAATAATTTTTTTTTACTTTCATTGTTTTGGAAACACATCTCCTCATCTGCTTTAGAATGGCAAGATCGTCTAACACACCTTCAAAAGGGAATGAAAGTATTCTCATTTTCGTTGTAGGTGTTTCCGACAGGGTAGGAGTGTGATGTAATGTGGAACGATTTTCCGTCATCCCTTGTCAAATTTGGTTTGGAGACAAACCGGTTTCGGCGTTGTGCCATCTTCAGTGTCATTTTTCGTTCTTCGGAATGAAAGTACTTACTTAGAAGCGCTCCTCGTTTTGCCGACTGGGTACAGCCGAGCAAAACTGAGTACATATCGGTGGCTGTGTGGAAGATCGACCTATCTCGGCAGCCAGTTCGAAAACGCCCTATCTCAGAAAACTTTTCAAGAACTTCAGAATTTTATTGAAAAGCATCCTGTCTCAGAATTGAAAATGTGCTAAGGTAGGGCGTTTTCGAATCGGGCGCTGTTGAAATATTTTCTGAGATAGGGTGTTTTCGAACTAGCTGCCGAGATAGGCGATTTCTCTTAAATATTTACAATGTTTTTCGAGTAAAATTTCTTTTATTAAAATGTTGTCCACGCTTTAACGAAAACCATATATGTATGTGTGTTTGTAAATCAAGGTCTCAAAAGAAAACTTCCACAAATTTTCATCAAAATTCCGAACTTTTTAATCCGAGTTTATAGAAAATTTTTGTGTATGCAATTAGATCACTCATGAATATCTAGTAAAAGAAGTGCAAGTTTTGAGAGCCTAGATTATCGCATTGAGTTTTAATAATTTTTTTTTTGCTGAAACGGTCCCAAAATCATCCAAACTAGGCCCAAAATATTCCGAACTCTCCCAAAAATCATCCTCAAATAGTTGTGAATTAGTCCCGAAATGGTCTTGAACAGGCCCCGAAATAATCCCAAACTAGTCCTAGATAGTCCGGAGATAGTCCTGCTATAATCCTGAACTAGTCCAGAAATGTTCATTTATACACAGAGGAAGCAATTACAGATTTTCTGCTGGGTTAATGCAGATTTTACCCATACCGAGAGCTAAGAAGTTTACACATCAAAAATATTTTTTCAGAGCTTAACTCGAACTTTACGTTATGCCTTTGCCATGTTCGGAAACAGGAGTTGTTACGGATTCCCTTGACGCTAATGCCGACGCATTGGATAGAAGCT